ACAATAGAAAAAGATGTAAATTGTGACATCAAAAGCATAAACTGTGGGAGGGAAATATAAAATATAGAGCTTCTGTATGCATTAGAAGTTAAGATGTTGTTGGCTTAAAATACACTATTATAACTGTAAGATGTTTTATGTAAGCCTCATGGTAACCACAAAGCACATACCTACAGTAAATATAGAAAAGACAAAGAGAAGGGAATCAGAATATACCACTACACAAATCAACAGTTCACAAATGGAAGACAGCAACAGAGGAAGAACTGAACTACAAAACATCCAGGAAACAACAAGATCACAACAGTAAACCCATATATTCAATAACTTCTCTAAATTTAATCGACTAAATTCTCCAATCAAAATATATAGAGTTGCTGAATAATTCAATAAAACAGGACTTAACTATATCCTACCTATAAGAAAATCATTTCAGATTTAAGGACACATAAACTGAAAGTGAAGGGATGGAAACTATACACCATGCCAATGGAAAGCAGAAGAAAGCAGAGTAGATTTACTTATATCAGAAAAAATAAATTTTAAGCCAAAAAGTGTTAATAAGAGACAAAAAAGGTCATTATATAATGATAAAAGGGTCAATTCACCAAGAGGATATAACAATTATAAATATTTATGCATCTAATATATGAGTACCTAAATTTATAAAATAAATATTAACAGATCTGAAGAAAGGAATGGATAAAAACACAGTATTATGAGGGGGCTTTAATATCCTATTTTCAACAGATAGATCAGATAGAAAAATAATAAGGAAACACTGGACTGAAACTATTAGGTTGTATAGACCTAAAAGACATATATAGATCACACAATCTAACAGCAGCAGAATATGCATTCTTCTCAAGCACACATGGAACATTCTCCTGTATAGATCACATATTAGGCCACAAAACCAGTCTTAGCAAATTTTAAAGGACTGAAATCATCCCAATTATGTTCTCTGACCACAGTGGCATGAAACTAGAAGTCAATTTCAAGAAAAAAACTGGAAAATTCACAAATGTGTACTAATTTAATAACATGCTCCTGAATAATCAATATGTCAAGGAAGAAATCAAAAATATCTTGAGACAAATGAAAATGGAAACACAACATACCAAAACTTAAGGCATGCTGCAAAAGGAGTTCTAAGAGGAAAGTTTTAATGATAAATGCTTACATTAAGAAAAAAGAAGTATCTCAAATAAACAACCTAACTTTACACCTCAAGAAACTGAAAAAAGAAAGATAAACTAAGTCCAAGTTAGTAGAAAGAAGGAAATAACAAAGATCAGAGTGGAAATAAATATAATAGAGAATAAAAAGAAAATAGAAAAAAATCAATAAAACTAGAGCTGGTTTTATAAAAAGATAAACAAAATTGATAAAACTTAAACTAGGCTAAGAAAAACAGAGAAAAGCTCAATTGGTAAAATCAGAAATGAATGAGGAGATATTACAACTAATAACATAGAAATACAAAGCATCATAAGAAACTACTATGAACAATTATATACCAACAAGTTAAATAACTTAGAAGTAGATAAATTCCTAGAAACAAAAAAACCCATCAAGACTGAATCATGAAGAAACAGAAAATCCAAACAAACCAATTACTCATAAAGAGACTGAATCAGTAATCAAACACCTCCCAACAAAGAAAAATCCAGAATCAGATGGCTTCACTGGTCAATTCAATCAAATATTAAAGGAGTAATACCATCTTTCTCAAACTCATCTAGAAAACTGAAGAGGAAGGAACATGTCCAAACTCATTTTAGGAGGCCAGAATTTCCCTGATATCAAAACCAGTACAGAACACTACAAGAAAATAAATTACAGGCCAATATCCCTGATGACCATGGGTGCCAAAATCTTCAACACAATATTAGCAAACTGAATTCAACATTAAGTTAAAAAGATCATACACCATGATTACGTGGGGTTTATTCCAGGGATACAAGGATAGTTCAACATTTGCAAATGAATAAATGCAATAAGCCATATCAACAAAATGAAGGATTAAAATTATACAATCATCTTAACAGATACAGGAAAAGCATTTGAAAAAAATCCAACATCCTTTGATGAAGAAAACTCAACAAATTTGATATAGAAGGAAGGTACCTCAACATAGTAAGTTCCATATATGAAAAACCCACAGCTAAAATCATATTCAATGTTGAAAAGCTAAAAACTTTTCCTCTAAGATCAGAAACAAGACAAAGATGCCCACTCTTGCCGCCATTATTCAACATAGGACTGTAAGCACTATCTAGAGCAATTAGGCAGAAAGAAAGAAAGGGCATCCAAATCAGAAAAGAAGTAAAATTATTACTATTCCCAGATAACATGATATATACAGAAGACCCTAAAGTTGCTACCAAAAAACTGTTAAAACTAATAAATGAATTCAGCAAAGTTGCAGGACACAAAATCAACACAAAAAAATCAATTGTCCTTCTACATACTAACAATTAACCAATTGTAAAAGGAATAAAGAAACACAATCCCATTTACAATGGCATCAAAAACAAAACACTTAAGAGTAAATTCATCCAAGGAAGTGAAAGATCGACACACCAAAATTTATAAGACACCGATAAAAGGAATTGAAGACACAAATAAATGGAAAAATATCCCAAATTCATTGCTCAGAAGGGTTAATATAATTAAAGTGTTTATACTACCCAAAGTGATCTACAGGTTCAATGTTATACCTATCAAAAGGCATTTTTCAACAGCAGTAGGAAAAAAATCCTAAAACTTGTATAAAACCATAAAAGAACCCCAAATAGCCAATGCAATCTTGAAAAAGAAGAATAATGCTAGAGTCATCACATTTCCTAATTTCAAACTCTATTATAAATAATCAACACAGTATGGTACTGGCATTAAAAACAGACACATAGATAAATACAGCAGAAGAAATATCCCCGAAATAAACCCATGCATATACAATCAATTAATCTTAAGCAAAGGAACCAGGAATATACAATGGGGAAAGAATAGTCTCTTTAATAAATAATGTTGGTAAAACAGGATAGCCACATGCAAAAAATTAAATTAGATCACTATCTTACATTATATACAAAAATCAACTCAAAATTTATTGAAGACTTAAATGTAAGACTGGAAACCACAAAACTCTTACAAAAAAACATAGTGGGTAAGCCCATTGACATTAGTCTTGGCAATGGTTTTTTTGGATTTGAGAACAAAAGAAAAGACAACAAAAGCAAAAATAAACAAGTGGAACTACATCAAACTAAAGAGCTCCTGCACAGCAAAGGCAATCATCAACAAAACGAAAAGTCAACTGATGGAAGAAGAAAAAATATTATAAACCACATATCCAATAAGGGCTTAATATCTAAAATATAAGAGGAATTCATACAACTCAATACCAAAGAAAAACCAACCAACCACAAAAACACAAAACAACAAACAAACAAAAACCCCTCAAAACAACAAAAAAAACCCCAACAAACAAAGCCAAGTACAACAAATCAAAATGGGCAAAGGACCTGAATATGTATTTTTCCAAAGAAGACATACAAATGGCCAAAACATATATAAAAAGGTGTTCAACATCAATAATCACCAGGAAAATGTAAATCAAGCCATAATGAAATACCACCTCACATACTATTAGGATGTATTATCAAAAAGAGAAGAGATATATGCTGGTGAGGATGCTGGGAAAAGGGAACTGTTGTGCATTCTTGGTGGGAAGATAAACTAGTATAGTCACAATGGAAAACAGTAGGGGAGGTCTCTCCAGAAATTAAAAACAGAACTACCATACGCCCCAGCAATCTCACATCCAAAGGACATGAAATCACTATTTCTTATCTCAAAGAGATGTCTGGACTCCCATATTTACTGCAGCACTATACACAATAGTCAAGGTATGGAAACAACCTAAGTGTCCACCCGCAGATGAATGGATAAAGGAAATGTAACACATACACACACACACACACACACGAATATTATGCAATCACAAAAAAAGGAGGGAGCTATAGCTCAGTGGTAGAGCTTGTGCTCAGCACGCATGAGGTCCTCACTTCAATCCCCAGTACTTCCATTAACAAAATACGTACATAAAATTTTTTAAAAAAATAAAAAAGAAGGAAATTGTCTTTTGTGACAACATGGGATGAACCTGGAAGGTATTATGCCAAAGTGAAATAAGCCAGACAGAGAAAGAAAAAAATACTACATGGTATCACTTATATAGAACTAAAAACAAAAAGTTGAATCATAGAAACAAAGGGTGGAATGGTGGTTGCCAGGGGCTGCGGAGTGGCGGGAATAGGGAGAGGTTGGGAAAAGTTTTTAAACTTTCAGTTATAACACGAGAAAGGCTTGAGATTCTAATGTATAACATGGTGAATATAGTTACTAATACTGTATTATATAATTAAATTTTCTAAGAGAGTAGGACTTAAGTATTTTCATCAAAAAAAGATGAGGTGATGAATGTGTTAACTCCACAGAGGGAATCACAACATATATGCACATCAAATCATTACACTGTACACTTTAGATACATATAATTCTATTTGCCAATTATACCTTAATAAAGGTGAACATTTTTAAAAAGCATTTTTTCCCTCCTGAACTAACATAATCCTACAGAAAATATCAAGAGAAATTTCTTTTGAGTTACTTCTTTCTCAGTGTTTCAATGCTCATTAGCTGGGTCAATATACAAACCACCTCCTCCCAAGGGTTATCTTTACTTATTTATTGAGCTCTGCCAATAACCTGATTGAGGAGAGTGCTATATGGATTTTTTAACTGGGCAAAAAGTTGTAGCATGTAACATGAGAACACGTAAACTTTTCTTACCTAACGCTTGCCTTCTTCCTTAAAGTTGTAAGAACAACACTGTGCTTTCTGAGTACGTGTGATTTTTAAAAAGACAAAAAATATGCATGCATACATTCCTGGTCCCTTACCCCTGCTCTTTTATACTTTTAGTTTTTTACCTCATTTCCTAGAAGGGCATTTACACAGGCTTCTGAGGCATCGCAGATGGCTGTGAGATCATGTCCTCCTTCTAGAGCCAACACCACATGTCCATCAGCCAGTGTCATCAACTGCTTCGTCAAATGACCAAAGCCTACCATAATGCAAACAGAACATTTCAAAGTATAAATCAAAAGTTAATTGACTACTAGAACCTAATATTGATTGAGCATTTATTCTGTGTATGTCCTTTCTCAGCACTTTCCATGTGGTAACTCATTTAATACTCACAATAATTTGATAAATTAGGTCCTATTAGTATCTTTACAAATGAGGAAACCAAAACCCAAGATTCCACAGCTAAGAAGTATCATGACTAAGATTTACATCAGTCAGTCGGGCTGTTCACTAGTAGACATTACTGCCTTTCACAACACATTCTATATGTACCTGGAGGAAAAACTTGAATAGTATTTGGCTAATGTAAACAAGGTAAACAATTCCATTTGCTTTATATTTGTTTCTTGTCTCCATTAGCTGCCTTTATTATAAAAGTAGTTTTATATGTATCACCTCAAATTACTTAACTATCACTATAAACTCACAGAAAATTTTTTAAATCACATGATCATCTCAATAGATTCAGAAAAAGCATTTGATAAAATTTAACACCCATTTATGATAAAAACTCTAACCAAGTAGGTATAGAGAGAACATATCTCAACATAGTAAAAGCCACTTATGACAAACGTACAGCCAGCATAATACTCAATGGTGAAAAGTTGAAAGCCTTCCCGCTAAAATCCAGAGCAAGACAAGATGCCCACTTTTACCACTTCTATTCAACATAGTACTGGACGCCCGAGCCATGGCAATTAGATAAGGAAAAGAAATAAAGGGGATCCCAAATTGGAAGAGAAGAGGTAAAATCGTCACTGTATGTGGAGGATATGATAATATATATAGAAAATACTAAAGGCTCCATACAAAAACTACTAGAGCTGATAAAAGAATTCAGCAAGGTACAGGATACAAGATTAACATGCAGAAATCAGTGGCATTTCTTTACCCTAACAATGAATCAGCAGGTAAAGAAAGTAAAGAAACAATCCCTTTAAAAATTGCATCCAAAAATAATAAAATACTTAGAAATAAATCTGACACTAAGGAAGTGAAAGACACACATGGAGAACTACAAAACACTGACTAAGGAAATTAAAGATGACTTAAAGAAATGGAAAGATATCACATGTTCTTGGATTGTAAGAATTAATATTGTTAAAATGGCTATATTACCCAAAGCAATCTACAGACTTAATGTGATCCCTCCCTATCAAATTACCCAGGACATTTTTCACAGAACTAGAATGAAGAATCCTAAAATTTATATAGAATCACAAAAGACCCAGAAATGCCAAAGCAATACTGAAGAAAAAGAATGAAGTTGGAGGAATAACGCTCCCAGTCTTCAGACAATACTACAGAGCTACAGTAATCAAAACATCATGGTATTGACACAAAAACAGACATATGGATCAATGGAACAGAATAAAGAGCCCAGAAATAAACCCACAGACTTTTGGTCAATTAATCATTGACAAAGGAGGTAAGTAAGACTATACAATGGAGAAAACACAGTAGATTTTATAGACATTATTTTTCCTATGAGATAGTTGATAAATACAAAAAATAATATCCAATATGTTATAAAGTATAATGATACGACATTATCAATAAATCATTCACCTCCCTATTTAAGGAAAATACTTTTGAAGCGCCTTGTGTACTTATCTCTAACATACCTCTTCCTCACTGCGGGAAATTAGGATCCTGAGTTTGTATTTATAACTCCTTTGCTCTCCATTGTTTGTTTTAGAATTTTATACAAATTGTTTTATACTTTCACAACTTGTTCTTTTCACAGTTTGTTAGCTCGTCTCTGTTGATACATGTAGTTATAGCTCTTTGCTGTCTAGTAGGCCACTGAATGAATATAGAAGAATTTATTTACCCATCCTCCTGTTCAGATATTTGGGGGTTTTGTTATTAGAAAAAAATGCCTCTATGAACATTCTTCTAACAGTCTTCTGGTGCATATCTGCAACAGTAGAGTAAAATTGTTGTGGCTTAAAATCTGCTAAATAACACCAGATTATTTCCAAAGGACTATAATCAATCCTCACGCTGAGAAGCAGTATATATAAGAATCCCAATTTAGTCACATCTTACCAACATTTGGTATAGGAAGGTTAAAAGACTGAGGGAGTAAAGTCATCTATACCACAGTAAGTAGTTAAGGAATATACAAAACAGAAAGATGTACAAAGTAAATGTGGGAAGAGGAGTTACATTTTAAGTTAAAATGCATTTGAACTTAAGAGATCAGCAACTTAAAATAATCATATTTATATTTAGATTGCTATATATAAACCTCATGGTAACCACAAACCAAAAATCTATAATAGATACACATACAAAAAAGAGAAAGGAATTCAAACATAATTCTAAAGATAGTCTTTTGACTTTAAAAGACACATGAGATGCAATGAACTTAATGGATATAGATATAGCAAAAGATGACAGGTTTTTGATTATCAGAGGTGGGGCTTGAGGGGAGGGAGAATAGTATGAAGGCAGTCAGAAGGAACGTAACTCAGGTTATAAGATAAATAAGTACTTCGGATGTTATGCACAGCATAAAATATAATTAACAGTGCTGTACATTATATATAAAAGTTGTTAGGAGACTAAATCCTAAGAGTACTCATCATAAGGAAAATATTTTTTCTATCTCTTTAATTTTGTATCTGTATGAGATGATGGCTATTCACTAAACTTACTGTGATAATCAGTTCATGATTTATGTAAGTCAATTTATTATGCTGTACACTTCAATGTATACAGTGCTGTATGTCAGTTATATCTCAATAAAACCAGAAGAAAAAATAAAACATTAAAAAATTAATAGACTTTTTTTTTACAGCAGCTTTGGGTTTACAGAAGATTTGAGCAGAAAGCACAGAGTTCTAATTTACCACCCCACCCCTCACTGTGGTTTCCCCTATTAATAACATCCTGCATTAGTATGGTATATTTGTTATAGCTGATGAGCCAACATTGATACATTATGGTTAACAAAAGTCTATTATTAGGATCTACTCTGCATTGTATGGTTCCATTGTTTTGACAAACGCATAATGCCATGTATCCACCACTGTAGCATCACACAGAACAGTTTCAAGGCCCTAAAAGTTCCCTGTGCTCCACCTGTTCATCTCTCCTCTCCACTCCCCAGTCCCTGCAAATCAATGATCTTCTGTGTCTCTAGTTTTGTTACTTGATTTTTCAGTGTTTACACTGATTCAAATTTTTACCTTCCTGTATTAACCATTCTAAAGTACAAAAGACATTATTTCATTTCTCCCCATCTGTGTAATAATTACAGTATTTATAACATTCCTAGATCTATAAAAATTGGAAAGAAGTATCTTGAATAAAAATGCATGGTTGACAAGCCTACCTGGGGTGCTTTCAAGTCTGACCTTGTTCTTCTCTTGAGTATTGTGTTTTTTTGTTTGAAAAGAAAGTGAATTCTCAGAATAACATTGGTAGAACTAAATGAAACTCTATAAAACTGTCAAGCAATGAGACCCCAAAACCAAACGAAGTTGCTTCCATTTTGGAGCAATGAAATAATATTTTAATCCTTGGGATGCACTCATATCTACCTAATAAACCAGAACTATCCAGAATTTGAGTTGGTCTAGCACTTGAGGTTAACCATGAACAAGATGAGTTCATTTCCCCAGGGCCTTGAAGGACTTAAACTGATTCTATCCACTTAGCTATGATTTTTATGGAAGTCAGAATATTCACTTTATAATTATCCCATGTTTTTAAATCCTTGGGAAAAACTATTCTAAAAAAGATTTTAAAATTAGGTGAAAACTATTTTCAAGCATTGCAGTAGTTTTCACATCTATGGACCTCATGCTGATACCAACAAGAATCTCTTCCACAGTCCATTTAGGAATGAGGCTGACCACATTAAACTCCACCTTCTTACCTAACTACTATAAAAAGAATGGTAAGCTTACAGAAAATGTGTAATGCAAAGTTCTGATCTCTAATGCTCAAAAACATTCTTGGACTAAGTCAAGGTTAATAGCACATAGTAATTAAGTTACTCTAGAATATAAACGAATAAGAAATACTCATAATACTCATAGACAGATATTTCTGCTAATCATATTGTTAAATATTCTGGACAGCTTTTCCTATAACCTAAACCACAGCTACAGTGATAACTTTGATAACTTAAAAATATATAATAACTTAAAAAGATATAATAATAAATCAAACCAGTATGCCATATCTTTCATACTAAAGGCTCCAAGCAATTGAGAATTCAATTATCTAAAGTCACTACTGAGCAGATCAAATCACATGGATTAAAAAAGGGAGGTGAGGGGAGAGGGAGAAAGTCTCAAATCTGATTTACGTTCACTCTTTCCTCTGGGAATAAAAAAAAAAAAGTCCCGTAAAATGCCAAATTTAGATGGGACAGTAAAAAGTGGAAGGAAAGAATGGAATGAAGTTGATCTTTGATCTCTATCCAAATTCCTCTTTCTTTTACCTACAGGGTTTATTTCCATTCACATGTTACTCATGTGATCTCTGCAGCCACAGATTGAGGCAGCTGAACTGAGTTATCCTTGCACAAAACATTCAAGTGAAGTAAAAAAATAAAACTTCTTTGAGGCCTATGCTCTTTCTTCCAATCAAAGTAAACAATTTAAGAACAATGTTTTACTTCTAGTAACCTGAGTTCTACTGTGTCCATTATTGCTTTACATATATTTGAGGAATCAGAAAAGCTAAGTGTGGCTACCAATGTCAAGGTATTATTTTTCAGGACATGTGAAAAAGAAGATTCAGTGGTGTGTGTGTTTATTTGATTAGAGGTGTAACATAATTTTAATGGGCATAAATACGAGTTTCATTTAATAATTTTTACTTCTAGCTTCACAAAAGCTCTGCTACTTGTCACAACGAAGTGAAACTGCACAGCTGAAAAATTATAGCAGAGAGCATACCCAGCAACGTTTTCCTCAAGGTTTGAGTGTCCTGAGTGTGAGGGTTGATGGCAAAGAA